TACATTATCATGTGCTCGTAGGGTTCTGCTTAGATGCGTAAGTGTATTTCTTTACACTCAGCTTTAGAGCAGTGAATACTTTCCCACCCCTAAGCATGTTGTGTCTTTGCCATACAAGGATTTCCAACATTGCTTACATTTTTAAGGCTCAATGGGATTGTCACACCACCCGGAGATAAGCCATGGATTGTATACCTCGAGACCCGTCACATACTCAGTAGTGTATATTTAAACACAGTAATGAGTTGATGTTGTGTAACATTCCTCCCCCTGGTCCAGTCTGTTGGTGGCATTGCATACCAATTATATCTTAGTTGTAAGTTCAGTTAGTGTATATAACTATATATAGTGGTTGCCGTAACAGTTCTTAAGGTTCTGAGATGTTCCTTAATGTTAAAACGAATGCATGCGAACTAACATTAGCTTCTCTACTTGAGCTCTCGATAGACATTTTATTACTCATCCTGTCATGTTTCATTTAGCCCACATGTGAATGCAAACTGATTTTCATTCAGGTTTAACGGCTACAGCTGCCCTCCTTTCTCAAAGATTTGCCCAGGAGACTGAAACCTTCTCCATTAACCTGGCAACGCTGCTAAGAAATGGCTCGAGGTGCTCTCGAGACGGTTTCTGTTGTTCCAGGCCAGGCACAAAAGCCCTCTTCTGGCTCCCGAGGTTTGGAAGAACCAGCACTGACAGACAGAAGTGATGGTATAAGCCTTTAGGTTTTCATTTTAAGACTGGATTCTCAGAATTTTAGTCCCACCCCGACAGAAAAATGTGCTTTTCTTTATCTGACAGATTTGACAGGCTACAAAGACTCTATATTAGAAAAGCTCTAAATTATTCATGCACTTACCCCGTATTTTGACTCTTAACTGAGGGGTAACACGCTTGTGATCAAATTAATACATTTGTTTCCCTTCACACCAAGCTCTTCAAATTGCCTACATCTAGCAGCTACCCACCTGAACTACATCTGTTAGTAACTGGTAATTCGTCTTACCAGATATTTTTTGGCTGGGTCAGTGTTTCTGAGAAAGTACAGTGTGAAATTGTCGTCACAGACTGAGGTGGTTTGCCACTGGCTTGATGCTGGTTTTTGAATATTAATTGACACTGGAATTGTCCCTGGCAGTGATACAATGCTCACTTCACTTCAGATGTAACAGTTTGTTTGGGACTGATAAGTAATGTTAAAGATGTGTCTTACAGGGTTTATAAAAAAAAAAAGCGAAACAATTAACAATTAAGCATGTTTAGGCGTATTGAACATGACCACTGAAGAAATAATTGGTATCTCTGTTGTGCTGCAAATCCTAAAGTTAATGTCTCGTGGTGATCTCATTCATGCCGTCATACAGAACTGCCAGATTGGAGGACATTTACAAGCTCGAGCTTGAAAGCACACAGTTCTCTTCTGCTCTGTCGTTAAATGTTGCAGGTGATTAAGCTGGTGCACTCGTTCATGCAGTTATTAAAAGTTGAGTCTGGTCAATTCTCACAGAATAGACCTGGTGTTATAGAATAGACACAGAATAGACAGGGTGTTAATGTCTGCCCATCCCCAGGTGGCCACACCACTAGCCTGAACTGGTTTTCACATTTTAGCTGCTGCTCTTCAAAGAGCAGGCAATTTCTTCATTAAAAAAAACATACTCATGAACTTTGTTTTTTTTTCTTCACATATCTTATCTCGGATCCCTGTGCTTCTGCAAAGTTGCTGCTGGGACTAAGTTTAGTTTCTGTCTTGATGTGAATTCACCTGTCTTTCATATGTGAGTAATACAGTGCTCTCGGTAGACACAGGAGACATTGTTGAGTGCCAGATACCGAACAGTTAATTAGCCATTGGAGATCTGGTGGAGAACTCCCCCAGATTCATCTTGGCTGGTTTTGTTTCCCCAAGTTGATGAAGTGCGCCGCCTTGATTTAAAAAGAGACAGAGGTGGTAGGCGAGGTTTTTGTTCCAGCCTTTCAAAACTTGAAACGGGTGCTTTCCCTGCTTGCTCCTGTGTAAAATTCCCAGTCTCCGCGCGTGTCCCCCAGTGCTTGTTTTTCACTGCTAGCTAACGATCAGTCACGGTTGTGTATCCAGAGATTTAAGACCTGTAGCTTTAAAAAGCATCAGCTGCTGTCAGCACAAGCTGATGTGCATTTTCTCTTCTTCCACACTTCCGTACTTAACACCTTGCATGATATTCCAGAGTAATATTTTAATTTAAAACGGTGTCAATAAAAGTTTTATAATACCGTGTCTGTATATGGCAGTTTTATCACTTATTGACTGAATGAAGTGCTTTTAAATGGGGATTAGAATATGGGATATATAATGGTTCGTTTCTGGCCTACAGCTTCGCTGCAGTTCTAGTGTTCATTGGCCATGGGCCTTGACTTAAAATCCACTTGTTCAGGGACATTCCACAATCTTATAGCCTTTGCTGGAATGGATATCTGGCTGAGGTGGCTTGGATCATTTGAAGAGTGGATAAGAAAACCTGAGTGTTACTGCAGTAGTTCAAATGAAATAGATTGAACATTTCATACAAGTTGACAACGTGATGTTTCATTCTGCTTTATGCCAAAGACAGACTTGCATGTCTGTGTGTTGTTGGTCGTGCCCTGGAATGTATTGACATTTAAATCCTCAGGAAGGCTGTATCAAAGGGGTTTTGTTCTGGAGGGCTAAAATGTTGAATTCTTGAATCGTGTGACCTCCGTGCCCTTGCAGTTGTGCCTTGGCGAATTACAAAGTGTATTTATGTCAGATCACTCCTGTGAACTTTTCTTTAGTCGCTTCTGTGGCTGAGGTTTGCCATTTTTGAAACATGCAGTTTTCTACTTGTTTGAAAATTAAGTACGAAAAAAGAGCTCATGCTCTCTCATTTGATGTGCTTATAATTAAATGTAACGGTTCTTATTTGCTCCAAAAATGACTCTCAGTGCTGTGTGGAATAATTTGAATCGCCTTGTGTGGCACAAGGTTTTGTAATGATTTCAGAAGGCCAAAAACTGGTCTTACATATTTAGAGTAAATTTCATTATTCAGATTCATTACTGTGTTGGGGCTACAGAATTTGATCTCTGCGGGGATTATCATGATAGGTTATCCACATTTGAAAACTAAGAAAAGATTAGAAATCGTCTCATCTGTCAGAGGTTTTAAATGTGGGATCAAGCCCGTATTAAATCAGGCAATTTTTATAAGACATCGCATTTCAGTGCAAAGATATATGAGATTAGAAACTGAGCTATGGAAATGAAAGCGAAATGGATGTAAAATATTTTTTTCAGACGGAGATTTTCATATTCTAATTCACTATTTTTCAGCCCTGAATCTCCTTTGTTGTGAAGTTCAATGTTAAACTATATAGCCAAGAGCCCAGCTCTTCTTTCAAAATCGATATGATATGAATATAAAAATAATTTAATAATTGTCACTGCCCATTCGAACACATATAAAGCAGAAAAGACTTGCCAGGCCCAATCCATGGATTTAAATGTATCGTAACACTGTAGCAGAGCATGCAGAGAATAAAAAAAAAAGATGCATGTAGAGGAAGTCCTACTTTTATCTTTTTCTTTTTGTGTCATATTTAGTTCCCATTTCTTTAGTCAGTTGGCATTTCAGCTGTCTTTTTGAATGGGAGCTGTAAAATAATGATGTTCTCCCATCTGAGCCCCTAATAGCAAAATGGATTCTTTTCTTAAATCATTGTTTTGCCCTTTTTTTTTTGTTTGTAAAACAAGTTTCTGTTGAACAGTGTAATGTTAAACCAGAGATGGAAAAAAATCTGAATCAAGCACAAGAACAGGACACCCCCAGCTTGCTTTTCAGTGAGATTATTTTGTTTCCCATTTCCCTTTTATGTTTTTACTAGGTGTCAAGCTTTTTTAAGGGTTATTTTTCCTTCATGGAAAAGAGATTGAAATTCACATCATGGAGTCTTTGCACAGATGGCTTTGTATTTTGTTTTCCAGAGATGGGTCTGTATTTTTAATTTCCCAGGGGCGTTTCTGACATTAGCACTGCCTCCTGTCCAGATTACTGATGTTTGCTCTTGACCTGGCTGAGCTTGACTGAATCCGAAATGGGCCTTAACTGTTTTGGGGGGGTTCTGTATCCTCAACAATGCTCATGGCAGCCATCTCTTTCCAGGAAAGATTTTATTTCTGCAATGATGTGAACAGACACTGTTTAAAGAATGATGCAATTGATTTTTGGCACCGCTGTCTTAGATGTCTGAAGCCTTTTCAGCACCATAGGAGCTCCAGAAAAAAAGAAAAACCCTGAGCCATTTTTTTACTTATGCCATTTCCATTTCCTAGCTTTCATTCAGGATTTTGAAGTTAGTGGAGTTCATTTTAGAAACATTTTGTCCATTTGTGAGGGGAAAATATGGTTTAGGGAATCGAGCTGGCCCATCATCACCAAAAATAATCCAGTGTAATGTAGCAAATAACATTGTAGGTTTAATAGGATGTACAGTGTTAATTAGTTTAAAGTAAATAAGAGGTAATGTCAGTGGGTGACATGTTGGCACAGTGGGTGGCATTGCTGCCTTGCAGTGCAGGGGTCCTGGATTCAGTTCCTGGGGTGCTGTCTGCATAGAATGTGTATGTTCTCCCCGTGTGTGCATGGGTTTCCTTTGGGTGCTCCAGTTTCTTCCCATAGTCCAGAGTCATACTGGTGGGTTAATTGGCTTTTGAGAAAACTGGCCCTGGTGCGAGTGTGTGCGTTTGTGTCTGTGTGTGCTCTGCAGTGGACTGGCATCAATTCCAGGTTGTACCCTGCATCCCACCCGTTACTTTCCGGGATAGGTCATGGTTGTCTGGTGGCAACATCATTTCCTTCGCAGATTGTCTGTTTGTTTCAGGAATTACAACCCAGATTTGAAGCCACGGCTTGATTTTTTTGGAGCATCCTGTAATTGTGCACAATAAGGACTAGTTTTGGCCGTGACGCTGAAGTTGTTGTGTTCTGTTGCTCGTTTCTTCAGGCCTTTGGACAAGCACATTCCAACCACAAGAAGGTAGCGGCGGACGGGGAGAGTCGGGAGGAGTCCCTGATCCAGGAGTCGGCCTCGAAGGAAGCCTATTACGAACAGAGGGTCCTGGAGCTGCAGACGGAGCTCAAACAGATGAGGAACGTCTTGGCCAATGCGCAGTCCGAGAACGACCGGCTTGCCTCGGTTGCACAAGAGATGCGAGAGGTACGGTGGGATAGCTGGGCTTCAAGCATTAGAACGAGCACCTGGTCCGTGTGCAGTGATGATCTTACTATAAATGCATCTTTTTAAGCTTCTTGTAATATCCCTGAAGTTGACTTATTAAAACTACGGATGTGCCCTGCCAAGTTGGTGCATTCAGTAAAGAATCCCGTGTGGAGGAGGATGGATTTATCACCTGCGCTACCCTAGACCAGCTGAACGCTATATGACACCAGTATTCGTTTATGGGATGCTTGAAAGTAAACGTGGCATGTGCTGCCCTTGAATTCCCCCAAGCTCGTCTGAGATCGCCGGTGAACGAGGAAGCTGTCACGAAGTGAAAGCGAAGCTGCTCTCTGAGAGGTCTGTCGTACGTGTCTAATTGTGACAGCCAGAAAATGGAAGTGAAAGAGTGCACCAAGATGAAAGCCATTAGCAACGTGAGCCTTTCATTTACTCGAATTCTGGGCACTTTGTACATATCCATCAGATTTGTTTTCTTCATTAAATAGAACCCTTAGATTGGTCTTTAAGACTTAAGCACTAAAGCTCCTGTAGAATCTTAGGATTCCAATAGATTTCTAGGGCATCAGTGATTTATAATTATCCTTATGCATTCCCCTTAAATCTCTGGATGTTGGAAGATTGGTTTTAGGAATTATATGTGGACTAGGTCTTCCAGCTGTACAGTATTTATAACATATGCTTTGCATGAAAGCAAATCACAGCATTTAAGAAAATGGGCTGTTTTTTTTTTCCTATCAGGCCAGTATGGTGGTCAAACAGGTGTTCAAACTGTTGTTGGTCAGCTGTTATAAAACAACTGGAGAAAATTGTAAGACAATTGGCAGTTTTCTTTGGTTCGGATGATTTAGTTTGACAATTTCAGTATATTTTCAGTATTCTTACATCTGTAATATGTTTTCCCACCCAGGTAATATCTTTAAAAAGAGTTCCCTCAACAAAGCAAATGTATTTTGTCTTGTATTTCTGCTGAGATCATAATTAGCAGCAGGTTGTGCAGGACATATTAAGTAGAAATGACTTCATGCTATAAAAAGCACCAGAAATCACCTTTTCTTGTTGGGTAAAAATCAGTTTCAGTTCATTCTCATCCCTGCATATTACATTGATATATAACACTTTCCCAGAGAGGTGCTAATTGAGGGCACAGAGCCGTCTGCGTCTGCTGAGGTTGAGAGTTTTTCACGTTGCTGCAGAATTACCAGTTGATTTTGTCGCAGCAATGCAGCATTTAAAAAAAAAATTCTTAGGATAAAGGATAAAGCACATTTCACATGTCCAGTGAATTACAGAGGTCCTGGAACACAGGGTGGACCAGCTAAGGGCACATTTGTAATTTGTAAGGAGCTCAGGTTACTGAAAGCGTCAATATGTGAACTCGGTGAGACATTAATCTAGCGTTACTCAGACTGTCAGACATGCCAGAATGTTCCCATTCTTGTTCCTGTGCCAGACTTGAATTAGATTTGGATTGTGCTCAGACCTGCTTTAGTTTATGAAAAGCTAGAGGTATAATCAGTATTCAGTGCGATTAAAATCAAGTTTCTGCCTCAATAATACAGTATGAGAGGTTTATGCTGTAAAAGATTTTAAGTAACCTCAATACCAAAAATAACAACCTTTCAGTTCTGCTTTACAGATCGTATGTTCTCTATAAACACATTGTTTTCCTAGAACAAGCTTATTAGCAAGGATAGTTTGAAATTTATTAGAAAAATCTCAAATCTTAAGGACATGTGGATGCGTTTTATACTCTTTAAAAGGAGGTGCTATACTCAGGTTTCAGCTTGAGTGAAGGGCATATATATATAAAGAAATCACGAGACTTTTTAACCCAGTGTCAGCTGCTGTCACCTCTGGGTGAGGATTTTTTTATCTCGGATAAGGGGATTCCCAGTCAGACCATCGGAATAAAATAATTGAGCCTCTTGATTGAGCAGAGGGAGGGGATCAATCCTGTAATCCTGCCTTTGAAGTCTTTGGTTTAATTGTTGGAAAAGTGCCCTCCTTGAGGAGGGGAGGAGAAGTCAGTGTGCATTAAATACCCCAGCTCTGGTCTGAACCCTCCCGATCTCTGAGCGTCTGCACAGTGTCTGGGCTGCTCCAGCTGACAGCGAGTTATTAACTCTCCTGTCTCCAGCCTGATTTCCTTGATTTGGGGGAGGGGAGCTGGCTGGTCTTTCTTTGTCCACACACACACACACCTCCATCTGTTAAGACACAACCTAAGCAGGCATGCGCCCGCGCACACACACACACAACCGAAGAAGATATTTCATCTCCCTCCATTTCGTTTGATCAGCCCTCTGGATCACAGCTGGCCTCACGGGGAAGAAGCACTGCAGGCTCTCTCCCTGCCCCTCCCTGCGCTGTGTTTTAACATGGGGAAGAGCAGCCTGCGGCACTGGGGGCGGCGGGGGCTGTGGGGGGAATTCACCATGTGGAGGAGCAGCCAGCGTTTTTTGTCACTCACTTTCACTTTAAGAGAACATGCTGCACGTTTAATTACTGCAAAACACATCCGTCTCCGCCAGGTTTTGTGCTCCGCAATTTTATTTGTGCGTGTGTGAGAGAGAAAGATGAAATATATTGTTTTTAACATTCTGAGAAGGAAAATGTGAGGAAGTATGCTTCAGCACATGTTTGGGTGCTTTTCTACGTATATGGTAAAATGTAGGTTAGTCCTGTCTTCAACAAGACCCAGTGGTATTTGGAAAAAACCTTATTTCCTGTTTTAGCTGACATCTGAAAATGTAGGAATGAAAAGCTGGGACTTTCTGGCTTGTGGCTTTTGCTATTATTGTGACCTTATTCCTCTTTCGTGTCCTTAAAAAAATAATTTTCTTTCTAAAATTTAATACATACAATTTCTGACATTCTGTGGAGGGAAAATAAGCTCAAAGCTGCCAAATCCTGTGTAAAATGGATTTTGTGGGGGCCAGCTGTCCTTGCTCAGTATTTTTCCGACGTTTTGCATGCAAAATGCTTAAAAAATAAACTTGTTTTTTTTAATGTTCAGCTGACCTTTTTATTGCTTTTTCCTAGCGTTTCCTAGTTTTGGAAAATCTGTTTCTGCTCATGTAGTGGTGCACACAATTATTCCGAAATTTTGAAATAACAATTGAAAGGTCTTACTGAAACTGGTAAACAGTCATCCGAACCATGAAGCAGCCCTTCTTTGTAATTCGTAAGTGCCTGCGCAGTGGCTCCGTATTGATTCAACAGTGGCGTTGTGAAAGAATCTGGACTTAAAATGGAATGAAGAGCTCTGGCTGGATTCACCTGTCTCAGATTAGACAGCGCCACTGCAGTCAAACTATCCATCTTCAGAAAGCTGCTCTTTCTGGGGAGGGCTGTCGCAGGCCCGACCCCACACTCACACCTTGGCTGGGGCACCAGTCCATTGCAAGACCCCAAAGAAGGGGGGGGGGAGGGTTTAGAGAAGCCTGTTGAGCCCCACTAACGTGTCTTTGGGAGGTGGAAGGAAATAGGATCACCCGGCAAAAATCTATACCGATGTGTGGAGAACGTGGAGACTCTGCACAGACGGATGCCTCGGGCCCCCGGGGCTGTGAGTCTGCAGCCCTGCCACGCCACTGGGCCACCCCACTGCAGTTCAGTGCTTGGTATTCAGGACACAGTGCAGTGCAAAGCACAGCCCGCAGCTGCTTTTCACAGTGATCATCTGCGCACACTGTACTGAATAAGAGCTTGACACATTTCGGCTGACTGAAATCAGGCTCTGATTGAAACTGAATGCGTTTTTAGATCGTGGCAGATGATGCTATGCAAATGTAAAAGAAGCTAGACAAAAGCTCCCTGCAATTTTAGGGAAGGGGAGTGTTACAGCATCCCACATAAATCAATCAAATACAACTTCCTTCCTTCCTCCAGTTTTTCCAATTTCACTGGATGCCATCTCATTAAACATCAAGTGAACAAAAACAATTCTTAACATAGTTGAGCCGAATACAGATCAACAAGGTATCGTTAATTTGTTTGGGCTTTGAGATAAAATTGCAAGTGCTTGAGGTTATCAAGTCATTGACATTTTTATTTAGATATTAATCTTTGCAGATGATTTTTATCTGTAAAATACTAGCTGAGTGGAAACAGAATAATATACTGTATGAACACAAAGTAGATGAAGCTGCAGAAGGTGCTGTTGACTTTGCTGCAGATATTTCCCATTCATATTGAAGACCTGAGTAAGTAACAACCAGGGTAATTCATGGAACACGTGGGTATTTTACTGAATAAAGAAATAATGCAAGTGGCACAGGAGAGTTTAAAACAAGAGATCTCTTACATCCGTCCTTAAACAGCTTCCACGAGTTACTTGAAAACTGCATATTTCAAGAGTAAAAAGGGGTCTTCACTGTGTTTCACAAGAGATATCATGCCTGTGCTGGCGTTACGCTAAGAAGAAAGCCATGTGTAATTTATCTAATTCACATATTTCTGCGTTGCCAAGAACCTCTTTAATGAAACTGAAACAAATTGGCTCAATGAAATAATGAAATGGGCTAGTCTAGTGCCTTAATACACTGCCACATGCATTTGGCACGGGTGGGATTTAAACCCTCAGACTTAATGGGTGCTAATTGGATCTTTGATTTGCCACGTTTGACAGTACTATTCCAGAGTGGACTGTAGTGATGTGCGTTGCTGGGGGGGGTACTTAAGGATCCTATTGTGCGTCCTCTGATGGATGAGGTGGTGGGTCACGACGGGGGGGCTTCTGGAGGTCTATTCTGCAAAAGGCAGTGCTGCGCCCAGGAAACTGCCCATACTCTACAGTGGCTGTTTATCTCGTAGCAGTGCCTGTCCCTTCACTGCGCTGCACTGGGGAGAATTATCAGGGCCAGAGAGGATTTACGTGGCTAATGAATCGCTTCCAGCTCTGCCTTGGAAAGGAGTTCTGGGTAAGCGAGCCCAGCTGTAGGCTGCCTTTGTTCGTGTACAGGAAGTGCTGTTGT